CATGTTTTATGAGCTCTTAGCAAAGCCATACGTAGGTTTCCTCCTCTTAGAGAAACCTGATATGTAAAAATTCATCTTGACAGGAAAGGTAAAGCAGGAAGTGATTATTCATGTTACAAAAGAATTAACCACAGGTTCCTTTAAATAGCAAGCTCCCTTAGTGCACTGAAGAATCTGACTCAATTTGCAGAAATGTGATTGACACTTAGAATTTTAGTAGCATCTTTGTTGGGCAGAGAACTCTCTGCCATTATAAAATGCAAGTTGAGGCGCAGTCGGTGTATCAAGGCTTTATTGAGCACCTACTACATGTCATGGATGCTCAGAGGGGGCCATGACAGAACTAAGGTGATCCATACCCAGAAGGCATTTAGAGGCTCACTGGGAGGACGAGACACATGCACAGCCACCACAGCATGCAATTGCCTCAGTGCCAGGACCCAGGGAGGCCTGGGGGTGGAGGAGCCAGGAAGGTCATAGAGGAAGCCGAGGCCCAGCCGGGGCCAGAAGGCAGGCAGGGTACATGGGATGACTTAAGCGTCTGGGAGTTTAAAGCAAGGGTAAATCAGGAAAGACCAGCTCAACAGGATATTGAGAAGACTCAAAAATTATGCAGTTATGCCCTGCTTATGCCTGAGTCCCCGATCCCTAATCCTCAGCCTTACTCATAGCAGGAGCCAATTAAGGTGTGTCCTCAACTAGTCAGAGGAGGGAGATTGAAGCAAAACCAGGATGCACTTCTCTCTCCGGTTTGCAACCACAGGCAGCAGCTGTTTATTTCGTAGTGACCATCTTCTTGAAGCAGATTCCTTTGTCCTTTTCAAGCTTCACCTTGGTAAAGCCCACACACAGAAGGGAGAAAACGAGACTTGCTGTTTAGGAAGAAAGACACAAGGTTGTGTTCTGGAAGTTAGTGGGGTTCTGAGTCCCCCAAAGCACACAGGGTTTAAGTTCAGTGTCAAGATGGACCCTTGACAAGATTCTTCCTTAGCAGCCTTCCTGTCCTCCCTCCCTCTCCTCCAGGCAGGCCCTATGTGCTGCTTCCCTCCAGCTCTACCTACTTCAATTTTCTGTCCCCATCAGAAGAGCTATGAGCTTTCACCTCCAAGTGCTAAAATGGGATCAGCCTTGGGGAGCCTAGGTCAGTGTTTGAAGCCTTTTTTCCCTTGTTTAATACCTGTTATTAAAAAAATAATTGAGTATTGTGGAGAGAACACTGGCCTGGAAGTCAGTTCTAGTCTCAGCTTTGGCCCCAACTTCCTGGGTGACCTCAGGCCAATAGCTTTCTCTCTCTGAGCCTCATTTTTTGTTTTCTATTGAATTTGTGGGGCTTGGATGCAAGGGCCATACTAGCCCTGACATTATGGGGTCTGAATACGTCAGCTCTCTCTAAGAATAAAATTAACTCCTTTTGAAAAAAATTAATAAAAAGAAATTTACCTAAAAAAAATGGACTATCTCTGTATATATTTATTTATTTATAGATTATATGCATAGATATTACTGTCATAGTTGATTGAGAAAACCCAAAAGAAGCTTCTAAATATTTATCATTAGGTTTAGTGAACTTTTGGAAAACATAAGATTGAGTATCGTATGACTTTAGACATTGGTGAAAAATGAAGACATTTGTCCTCAAGGTTCAGGTACATGGTTTTAAATATCTTGCTAATCTCAAAGTTCCATATTATAATTAGGTAACTTACACCTATACCAAGGGTGGAAGAAAATCCATATTACAAATGGTCTTGATAATTTAGAGTTTTTTGGTCATCTCCCTGTAAGATCTGATTGGCTTGTCCTTGTGTTCATCTCCCAACATGGCTGGCAAGAGCTCCCACCAGGAGCTGACATGGCAGCTCCGCCATTTTCTTGTTTACTTGGTTGTGTGTTGAGTCTTGTCTGCAACTCCTACTTTCTTTACACAAATCTTTTCAAACCTCTCATCCATTTAGTGAAGGTGATTTTAGTTAAAAGGGGTAATAGCCATAAAGAGACTTTACCAAGAAGCCTCACAGAACTGCAGGGCACCCCGTGGAGCTGAAAGCTAGTGCTGGCTCTGGCAGCCATGCTTGTGGAGGAGCACGCTGTCCCTCAGGTTGCTCCCTGCCCTTGGAGCACCCCTGACTGCCTGACCTAGAGGCGGGATGCAGGAGCCAGTGGCATTCTGCAAATGGACTATTAGAGAAGTTGCATTTTTCTCTTTTTAAATTAAAATAAAATAAATAGATGGTCTAGTGTTTTCTCATCATGTCAACTAATTCCTGAAGTGAGTGCATCCACTTTGGAGAGCACTAGCTCAGAAAATAAGCTTAACCGCTTTGCTGAGCTTCAGGTTCCTAAACTGGGAAGATGGGATTCATCATATTGAGAGGATTAAATGAGATAATGCAAGAAAAGTGTCTGGCACATAATCAGCGGTTACCGTCATCTCAGTTCCAGTAGCAAAGCTTCAGTAGATCCATGTCTAGGTCATTTGAAGAAAGCTGTTTTTTAATTGACCTGGTTCCAGTGGTTATGATGGCTCATTTTAACTGCTGGGGAGCAGAGCATGATACAGGAAAATTGGAATGTTTCTGCCTTCGTACTTGTCAGGAGCCAGGAGAAATCTGGAAGGGTTGCCTTGTTTATGCTCCTCCTTTCTGTTGATAAGTGATGAGAATGGTTCACAACTCAACTTCATCCTGGGCAGATTTATGACAGCAGAGTCAGCCAGCTAATTCTGGAATGAAAAAATGATCTAGGAAGGGAAATTCCATTTGGAGTTGCTTGTGAATTGTCTGGGCTAGCTGACATGAGTGGCTGGGATGAGCACGCCAGTCTGCATGGATAGGGTCTTCTGATCTGAAAGCACTTTGGGAATTTATCCCTAATGGATGTGCAAAGCCCATTTGACAGGGAGCCTGCCCACCTACCAATCTTTTTCCTGGAAAACCTACCCTAATTTACCGAATTTTTTTTTATACCGTCTTTACTGAAAACATCCATCTTCCTTTTCCTTGAATACAAAGATGTTTCCTTATTAATTTTTTTTTTTGTGAGGGAGAGCAGCCCTGAGCTAACATCCATGCTAATCCTCCTCTTTTTTTTTTTTTTTGCTGAGGAAGACCGGCTCTGAGCTAACATCTATTGCCAATCCTCCTCCTTTTTTTTTCCCCCCCGAAGCCTCAGTAGATAGTTGTATGTCATAGTTGCACATCCTTCTAGTTGCTATACGTGGGACGTGGCCTCAGCATGGCCGGAGAAGCGGTGCGTCAGTGCGCGCCCGGGATCCGAACCTGGGCAGCCAGTAGCGGACTGCGCGCACTTAATCGCTAAGCCACCGGGCCGGCCCTCCTTATTAATTTTTAGTAGCTTTAATCACATATATATATTTTTGTGTGTGTGTGAGGAAGATCAGCCCTGAGCTAACATCCATGCCAATCCTCCTCTTTTTGCCGAGGAAGACTGGCCCTGAGCTAACATCCGTGCCCATCTTCCTCCACTTTATGTGGGACGCCGCCACAGCATGGCCCGACAAGCGGTGCGTCGGTGCGTGCCGGGGATCCGAACCCGGGCCGCCAGCAGCGGAGCGAGAGCACTTAACCGCTATGCCACGGGGCCGGCCCCCCTAATTTACCGAATTTTAAAAAGTCGTTTGTGCTTTTTTGTTTCCTATTGAAGAAATCTTTGCCAAACCCAAGATCACTAAGATTTTCTTCTGTGCGTTCTTATAAAAGTTGTATAGTTTTAGCCCTTAGATTTAGGTCTGTGATCCATTTTGAGTTCATTTTTGTATAGGTGCTCCTTGTAGAGCTCATTTAACTTTTCCTCTTCCACTATTTTACCATAATTTCTAAGTTGCCAATTCACCACTGGGGTTTCACCTAATTTTCGCTCCCCTTGCGTTCATTCATTTGCCGTTCATTCATTCATTCATTCATATTAAGCTGTAAATAAAAAAGGAAAAGGACAGGAGATTGATTGATTGAGGTGGGTGTGGGGCGACACCCAAAGTCTAGATGAATTGTGTAGTCCTTCTATGGATAAGTTAACCAATCTCTGGGGCCGGCCCCGTGGCTTAGCGGTTGAGTGCGCGCGCTCCGCTGCTGGCGGCCCGGGTTCGGATCCCGGGCACACACCGACTCACCGCTTCTCCGGCCATGCTGAGGCTGCGTCCCACATACAGCAACTAGAAGGATGTGCAGCTATGACATACAACTATCTACTGGGGCTTTGGGGGGGGGGAATAAATAAATAATAATAATAAATAATGTTAACCAATCTCTGGATTGGCCAGCTCTGCTAATTTGCATCGGCACTTTGTCCACAAGAAGACCTGTCTACTTCATCCGTTGCCTCTACCTATTACCAAGTATAGAAAATCACCATAGATTGGGAGAACAATTTAAAATGGTATTGCTGCCTAAGAAGCCATCTGTTGAGAGGGCACTTGTGCCTGCAGATGTAAGCAGTCTGAGACCTTGGTTTGGTCAGCAGGGCCCCTGTATCAGCTGTCTTTACGCGCATTGTCACTGAGTGATGGGCATTATCTCTGTAGGGTGGGAATTAATTATTGTGCACATTTTGCTCAACTGAGGCCCAGAGATGTTAGCATCACACAGTTAGTCTTGGTGAGGGAGGGGGCACCGGAGAGCCAAATTCGCACCTGTTACCTGCCGTCTCTGCACTTGGGGAAATGATGCTGGACTCCCTCTGGGGGTTGGGGCAGACGTTGTTGGTCTTCTGTCATGGTGCGGTTCCCCTCTGAAGCCCCTGCTGGCCCTGAGACCTGTAGGCTGCTCTGCCTGTGCCTGACCACGGACTAGCACTTTGTGGTTTCTGTGAGACAGGCCTCAGGTTAACCAAAATTGGGTTGCTGTGTGTGGCCCTGTTATTTTAAGTATTGGTAGAGGGGAAGTCCCTTTAATATGACTTTGCTGACCTTCCAGGGATGCTGGGCCTCAGACTTCTCCAATATCCAATCTGAGGTGCTCTTTTTTTGTCCCTGTTCCTTCCAGTGGAGGCCATAGTGGAGTTTGACTACCAGGCCCAGCACGACGATGAGCTGACGATCAGCGTGGGTGAAATCATCACCAACATCAGGAAGGAGGATGGAGGCTGGTGGGAGGGACAGATCAACGGCAGGAGAGGTTTGTTCCCTGACAACTTTGTAAGAGTGAGTACAAAGCGAAACCCTTTTCCTGTCTCCTGGGTGGGTTCTACTGACCAAAGCTGTGGGGACACTTGAGGAGAATTTCATGGGACTCTCTTACGGGGAGGAGTTGACAGCTTCACCTCCTGGGTGCTATCAAGAAAAACATGTATGGCTTTGCCTTTGATGTCTGGGGATATCTGTTTTGAAATCACTTTCTTAAGGCCCAGAATGTTCTCTTTCCAAACTCTGTATCACTTAGAAAATGCTGGAAAAATATAAAGCTTGTTAAATCGTTTTATTTATATACTGGTTTATTTGCTTTGATAGTTTAAAAGAATTTTCCCCTTTTCCATTCCATTCAAAATGGAGGTGAAGGGCCGGCCCCGTGGCTTAGCGGTTAAGTGCGCGCGCTCCACTGCTGGCAGCCCGGGTTCGGATCCCGGGAGTGCACCGCTTCTCGGGCCATGCTGAGGCCGCATCCCACATACAGCAACTAGAAGGATGTGCAGCTATGACATACAACTATCTACTGGGGCTTTGGGGGGAAAATAAATAAAATCTTAAAAAAAAAACACAAAAAAAACAAAAAAAACAAAATGGAGGTGAAACTCAATTTTGACCAACTCAAGGAGCAATCAAACTAAATGCAGAATTCCAATTGTGCTGTGTTTTCTACCTTTGTATTCATATTGCTTTTTTGATAGGAGCAGTATTATTTTCCTTTCCCCCGTTATGGCCATGAAGCATTGAATAAAATCTATTTTTTCAGTAAAGTTTTAAAAATTATGCCCTTTAAGAAGTCATCTAGGGGTTAATTACAAAAATATAGCTCATTCATCTTAAGAAATGACATACTGCACAGATGTAAATAATAGTTGGAATTGGGTAAAAAGGGATCCCTGGAGGCTGTTCCCCATGGGAAATACCAAGGAGGTGCCATAAACTTCCGATCCAACGCTGGAGAAGACGGAATCGTTCTCAGGAGGAAGGGCTGTGTGCAGAAATCCCCAGGGCCCCTGTTGTAGTTTCAGTGGTACCAGACCATGCCTGAGACGTGCGGCTGCGGAGGCAGGTGGTGTGTGAAATGCGGGGCCCAGAGAAGCAGGTGCCCCTCTCAAAGAGCCTCGAGGGCTACACGGGAGGGTTTTATGAAAAGTGATTATTGATGTAAAGCAGTGATGGGCCCTCTACCTGTATGCTGCCCCCAGTCTAGAACACATAGAAACCCAGTTTCATCTTTCTTCATGATCTTGCCTCAGAGCAATCCTGCTAACATTGCTTTTGTTCTTTTCTTTTTGGTGTGCAGAAAGCTGGGGAGAGTTTTGTTGGTGACATGCTGATAAACTTGGCTTTCTGTAAATAGTTGTGGGAGTAGGGACTTCTTTTTCTTGGACTACAGTTGAACTTAGCAGCTTTCTCCCATTTTAAGAGTAGGAAAGCATTATATCTGGGCCATCACGGATTGACTCTGTTGATGGTTAAATGGAGGTGAATTCTTTTGCCCTTCTAAACAAAAACTCCTATTTTGGGACAAGGACCGTCCTTGAAATTGAGTCAAATTCTGGGTTGGAAGGAGGGTTTTTCCGGATAAAAGAGGAAAAGGTTGGAGTGAAGACAAAGGAGGAAAAAATGAGTGAGGAGGGCCATGGGAAAGAGAAAAGAGGATCTGGGAAAGAGAGAGGAGGACTCGGGGAAGGAGGGAGGATGACCCTGGGAAGGAGAAGGGACTACAGTGTTGGCTGCAGTTTTGAGGGTAGGTGCTATTTTGAAAGCCTTTAATGTGTCCTGTTGGCTTAGTGCTCTCTCATTCTGAGCCACAAATCCACAGATGCAGAGAACTTCTGAGTTGCACTTTGCTCAGGTCTTGAGGCCCCCGTAAGCATTTGTGGAGGGCGGTGGGCACCAGGGCAGGGAAGCGCAGTGCAGGAAGAGCCCAGGCAGGCTGACTCCAGCTCTGGGGAAAAGAGGAGCTCCTCACTGTGAAATGGAGGGTGATGTGGTCCCAGCCCCTGCCGGAGCCTCTCTCCACCCTTCTCCACCTGCTCGGCCTCAGGCTGGGCCAGTGTGGGCCACTGCAGGGGGCTCCTGCCCCGTAGCTCCCATGGGCTTTGATTCAAGGGGAGCGCTGGTGGGAGATGGCAGGGAGGGAGGGAGGCTAGCCAGGTCAGGGGTTATCCTGCTGGCTCCTTGCCCCGTGGTTGCCTTGGGCTGGCTTGAGTCCCTTGGCCAGGCCAAACGGTGGCTGTTCCCATCAAGGCCCCTTCCTCCACATTCCTTTCCCCTCATCCCTGCAGTCCTGAGGCCCCCTTGTTTCTAGCCCCGGGCTTCTGCCTCGGAGTCTCTCTGTACCTCACCCACTTTGTAAAAGTCTCTTTATTAATCCCGCTTCAGATTACCTGATTCCAGTGTGCCATCTGTTTCCCTTTTCAAGCCCAACTACCTCGTCGGGCCACTCTGAGGATTAAAGGAGACAGTGCGTGGAAATCACCTAGCACATCGCCGGCCACCTACTGAGTGTGTCGCTGTCTGTGTTCCCCGTCAAGAAAGGGACCCTCTCCCCTGGCCCGAGTGCCCCTGCTCTTGCCCAATTACTTGTCATCTCACCTCCTTTGAGCACTTCCAGTGAGGGGAAGTCATGTTCTTGGGAGGTGCTTGTTCCACCCAGGCCAGAGAGGATGTGGCAGGAATGGCCGGGGCTGTACTACTTGTGGCTGTCACATTTGGCAGGAAAAGAAACTTCTATTCTTTCAGATGCCGAGTCTATTTTCAAGTCTTCACACACTGGGAATGTTTTAGGCCTATTATTGAAAATCCAGTAGGTGGATGCAGTCGAGTTTACCAATAACACAAACAGCCGTAGAGAGTTCTAGAAGCTGAAAATACATCTTTAAGTAACAATAATCATACTGGCGTAAGTTTGCAGTTTTAAAAGTGGGTTTACATATGCCTTATTTAGCTTAAGAATAATTGTCCCCAGATTGAATTGGGTAATTTTGTGGCATTCCATGGTTTATTTGTGTGCCTTTATGCCAGTGTTATCACTGTCAGAGAGCTTCCCTTAAGCATTTTCTTGATTCATTTATCAGATCCTTAATCAGTGTCCCAATTGAGCATGGTCCCCCAAGGTGTTGGGATTCAGTATCCATGCTCAACTCTGTATTGTCTCAGTTTCTCAAAAGAACAATGCCAGCCATTCTGGCCACTCCATTGTTAAGAAGATGCCTGGGCTGTGCCAGCTCTTGGGCTGAGATTTGTTGGCACACATAAATGTACCTCACCAGGCCTCATGACCTTTGGGTTGGTTCTTCTTTTTCTTTTATTTAGTTAGTTCTTATTTAATTTATTTACTGTACATATGGAAGAAGAATCTTTTTAAATCCCTCTTCCCTTTCTTCTCCCTATCTCTCTCCCCACCCACTTTTTTAGAATACATTTTTCTTTATCCCTCCTCTTTTTAAAAAAATTTATTCATTTTTCAGCTGAAATTTACACGGAGTAAAATGCTGAAGTCATAATTGTACAGCTTGATGATTTTTTTTTACATAAGTGTGTACCTCTGTAACCATCATCCAGATCAATCCTATTTCTATCCCTCCAGAAAGTTCCATCATGCCTTTTCCCAGTCTTTCCCTTTCCTATAGGTAATCTATCATCATAGATTAATTTTGCTTGGACTTGAATTTCATATAAATGGAGTCATACAGTATGTGCTGTTTTATATATGGCTTCTTTTGCGAAACAAAATGTCGTTGCTTGTATCAGTACTTTGTTCTTGCTGTGTAGTATCCCATTTTATGAATATGCCATAATTTGTTTATCCATTCTCCTATTGATGGACATTTGGGTTGTTTCCACTTTGGGTATTCTATGAGTAAAGGCTCTGAACTTTCTTGTATAAGTCTTCTTATGGATGCAGGCACTCATTTCTCTTGTAGATATACACGTAGGAATGGAATTGCTGCTTTCACTCACTTTCAACATATATATTTTTCTCTGTTTAAAGCTGTGGCCTCTATGGATGGGGGGGGAGGTGTTGCACCTGTGCTGAGCCTCATTCGTGCTACACCAAGTGACTGAGCTGATCAGCCTGTGCCTAGTTGACTTTGCGTAGCTGCCCTATGAGTATGAGGGCTGAGGAGTCCTGAAGCACAGAACTCAACTTCCCGGGGACCAATTGATTGTGGGGCCCATCAGCTATCAAAGACTCATTCTTAAATTGTGAAAAACAAAGAAAGAGCATGTGTCAAAGTTTTATTGAACTCATTTAATGAGGGAACTAGCAAAGTAACAAAACTGACTCAGTGAGGATATGAGAAACTGAGTAAAAAGTCAGTGGAAAGACGAATGTTCAAAGAAGATTGCTAAGTTAGATTCAAAATGGGTTCACGTCTTAGAGGACAATAAAATCTTTACCTCTGGGGTTATCATCTCTACCAGAAAAAAAGAAAGTAGCATAGCTTATCATTTTTCCACATGTTATCCTGACTTTTATAGGGTTGTAAAATGTCCTAATAAAATCTTAGGGGCCGGCCCGGTGGCGTAGTGGTTAAGTTCGTGCACTCTACTTTGGCAGCCTGGCGTTCGCAGGTTCGGATCCCGGGCGCAGACATATGCACTGCTAATCAAGCCACGCTGTGGCAGGTGTCCCACATATAAAGTAGAGGAAGATAGGCATGGATGTTAGCTTGGGGCTAATCTTCCTCACACACACACACACACACACACACACACACACACAAAAGTTAATTAATTCAAGTTACATTTCCAGAGAGAATCAGATGACCCTCCTGGGGGGCTTACTAGAAAATGCATCAGAATGACATTTAAAAGGTCACACGATCATCATTTTTTGCTTAATTTCCAAGTTTGGGATATTTTTTTCTGAACAGACCACAATAGACCATAATATGGGGATACTATAATAGGAAGTACTAGGATGAAATCCTCAAAGTCATTTATTTAAAAAAAACATGGCTGCTTTTCTGGGACCTGAAACTGCCACATAAAACAGAAAGACAGCC